TCAGTATTTGTTGCCAAGCTGGTGTAACTGCCGCCCAGCTAAAGCTGCCAGTAGGCCTCCTCATTAATTTGAATGAAAAGACTGTTACATAGAACAAGGTATACAGAACCATGCAGGCCAAGCATTGTGGACTAGGATAAATAACAGGTTCCTGCAGAATCTGCAGTGAAGATCATAGGATGACAACTAGAACCCTATTATCCAACTCTTCTCTATTTCAGCTCTTACAGAAGCTTCAGAGCTCCCGATACAACAGAGCCCATGAGAGACAACCGTACAGTAGCCTTTCAGGCAAAAATCCCAGATGTTTTTCTAGCTTGTGTTTTAATTTTTTGTATTTTTTATCATTTTTGTACATTTTTTATATTGTACCTTCTCCCAGAACTCGAAGCCCTTTCCAAAACCATGAAAGACAAGATGATGTACAAGATAAAAGTCGAGATTTCCTGCTCCACAAATGCCCAGAGGGATTCTGCAATCATGGAACCAGACTCAGTTACAAAGCCTCAAACGGAACTGATGGCAATCAAGAATTAGATGAATGAATGGGAACAAGGTGGGCAGTAAGGACACAACATTTTAGATATACATTCATGGACCTTTTAGTGTTACAAAGTAATAAATTCCAATTCACTTCTAAAGTGCTTTTTATAGCAGATGTTGTCTGACAGCAGTTCTAGTGAAACGTGGATCCAAGCACTTGATAAGCATTACCAAGGAAAAACTCCCTAAGTGAGGACAAAACACTGACAGGAACCAAGACTCGAAAGGGGAACCCGTCCTCCTCTGGGCCACACCGGACAGCGGAGATACAACAAACCCCCCCCCCCTTGAGATCTACTTGAGATCTACTTTACCTTTCCAACCTACAATCTGACCAAACACTATCTGATCTACCCAGTCAAGGACTTCTAATGAAGCTCATTACCTTTAACAGGTCTAGTAGACTGTGGTTGGAACTAGACTCCAAATGAAGGTAGATGTAGTTGGTGGTGGATCTCCTAACCTTCACAGACCTGTTGGCGGATCATGGCTTTAATTCCACACCCGTGTAACTTCATAACCCACTCCTTTTGCATAGTTTTCCATAATAAGCTGTAGGATGTGGACATACAAACTAGTTTAAAGAGCTACTGGCTGTCTGTTACCATGTCAGCACTTCTGTCTCCATGGAGAATAACCTGTACCCGTGTCCTGATCGGATCGTGAGATATTTCCAATCATGAGAACAGGGAGAACCCATAGGAATCCCCTGATGACAAATCCCACAGCGTCACACTATCGCTTCACCTACACGTTTCAGCCTGCCCATACTGTGGCAGCGAGCCACTGGATTCCCCCCGTTTGTGTGTGTGTGTGTTTGTCTCTGTGTTTACCACGGCCCCTGATACACTCATGATTCAGACCCCTCTCCCACTCGCTCTATTTTTGCTTCATTAGGGCCAAGTCTGTCAGCTAATACTACTGCAGCGCTCCAGTGTCAACTGCCAAGGCGACTAATTTCAGAGTTCAGAATGCGTAGCTGCTTTGGCAACACCTCGCTGAGGGATTATCTGGGTCGGATGAAGGTTAAGGTCATGTGAGTGTAGGGACTGTACCACTATATGTAATGGGATAGAATATGTAGATGCGTTCAGTGGCAAAGCAGAAGCCCACTGGTTAGGCCACAGCCAACTTAAAAAGTTCAAGTACGGGTGGGCAATATGGCAAAATGATGCTCAGTGAGTATTCATGATATTTCCTTTTTCTGACTTTTTGAAAACAAGAACGGAAAATGAGAGGTGGCTATGAAAAAGTACGTACTTAATAGTAATACATAACTCAGGATTTCCAAATAAACTGTTTAAGAAGGAACAGAAGAAAGATATCAAATTGGTAAAAATAAATAAATAAATAAATAAATAAAATAAGATGATGTCATAATGGGCTGACATCCAATCAGTTACTTGTTACTATGCAGACTGTGTAGTTCATATACACTGGTAACTGTTTAACCCTTAACATGGCCAGGGCCCGCCAGCAGGCCCAAAGCTTTATTACTCACTTCTATAACCTAAGAATAGCTCAACCAGTTTGCATTGAAGTTCCTGTAGTAACAGAACAATAAGCCTTAGTATGTAATAAGCCTGGGATCTTAATGGGCTGAAGGGTTCAGTTGGTCTAAATCTGTCTTTTAATATGTTTTTCAGTTTTCCAGAAGTACTGACTACATTCAGAAAACCATATTAAGGAGTAATTCATCACAATATTGACAGCTTATGATCATACTGTCCCCCTTAAGTTCAGCTAGGTGCTAGCCATATTAGTACTGTCTGTAAAATGTCAGTGAGCTAAACTTTCCTGACATGGATCCACCCAGGACTTTATGGCTTGGTGGAGAGTTCGAATTTAATCCCAGTTATACAGTGTTGTCTGCTAGTTTGGTAGCACCAGAGCTTGTTGAGGCCAGGCTGAAATATTGGTGGCCTGTGTCTGCCCAGGCCTCTAGGGGGGAAAAAATGTAGGAACTTATTATTCTTCTGTGCATTTTTCGGGATATCAGTTGACAGGCTTGTAGCCGGCATGCAGATGTCAACCTGATTTGCAGTCCAAATTGTAACTTTATCTTTCTTTCTTTCTTTCTCGCGCTCTCTCTCCGTATTGCATCAGCATCCGCTTCAGCACATGCATGGCAGCCTGGACTTCCACTCAGTGTGGGTAATAAGAGTGGTCTGCTCAATGATTGGCCTGGCGAAGGAGTGGAGAATTTTAGCCGGACACATGAGAAATCTCATGGGAACACTCCGGCCTCCTAATTGGACTGTGTACAGTCAAGTATGTCATCCTACACACAGTTATATATAATAATAATGATTATTAGCACCATGATGTCTTATGATTTTTGGCTACTGTATTTTTTGCCTGGTTTTCGGGAGGGAGGGGGGTGCATTCTTGGCCTTCTTCTTTCCAGGTATGTATTTTTTTTGTTGTTGTTTTTTGCTCAATATGTGTTTTTGTGCAGTTTACTGAAATGAGCAGTGCTCATGTTAGACTTTATAACTTTGTCTACCTGTATTTAAACAGACAAAATAAGTTATAAGCTCTAACACGAACAAAACTTGCCGCGGTAAACTACAAATATATATGAAAATGTTTTTAAAAAATGAAAAAACTGAAAATAAGGAGATATTTGCTACATGTTATGGCTATATTTATTTTATTCTGTATTACTCTCCATTCTCCCTTATCTGAAGGCAAACCTGGCTCAAGTCCAGGCCTGCTTTCTGCTTTTGGCAAATTATCTGTGCTTTCTTTTTCTGTGTTAGTCCACTTTAATCAAACAGAACCACTACAAACTAGTGCTCTTGGTGTTCCTTGGCAAAAAAAAAAAAGAAGTGAATGATAAGATATTTTCTCTCCGTTTCTAAACAGATGAAATATAACCCATGACGTTTTGGCCTCTGCGGTTCCTTTAATGGCTTTTCCACTAGTTTGCTCGGTCGGAAGTTTGCTAACCAAATAAAGGCAGGAGGGGCGGGGCCGGATGAGCGCCTTATATGGAGTTTCCACTCCAGCGCTGAGAGCCAAAGGCGAAAGAGCAAAAGCCAAAACCTAAAAAACCCAAAGTTAAAAAAAAACACAGGCAAGAAGTCCAAACGTCTGTGGATCCTGCACTGTTTACAAGCGTTCAGCTCTGTCCCAGTAAGCCAGCGTCTCTGTGAGCCCGCCTTGTAGAAGTGCCTGATCACACTGGCTGGTCATGGGGCTCAGAAATGCCTTCGTTTAGCCCAAGTTTGCCGACCCCACCAGTCTGAAAACTCGCTCTTTTCTCCTTTAGTGAGCCAAAGCGAGCTCCTTTCAGCGGGACTTCCCTGCTTGCTGCTTTCCTTCTATGCTCTGGTTGCTTGGCGGCGTGTAGTGTGAATGGACTGAATCCCCTGGTTGGAGACCCATGGGTGGAGCGTGGTGGTGGTGGTGGTGGGTGGGTGGGTGAGTGGGGGTTTAACAGGTGGGCTTTGGTAGGCCTGGGGACATTAAGCACCAGTCTCTCTTCTCTGAATAATGTTTTAATACCCCACGTACGACCAACAGCCCAGTTTCTGGAGTATTTATGTACCTCTGAAGTGCACAGTGGTGGCTTTCAGTTCACAAGTGTGTGAGCTGAGTAGAAATAAACACCACAGACTCATAGACTTCTATGGAAAAAAGACCAGGTCTCCCAGTGGCCCAACATTGCAACCCAATTAACCAGCTTTTTAATCCATTATTAGGTACATGAGGCTTCATATAGAGTTTAGACGTTCAGTTGATTAGCTACAGCTTGTAGCCTACCATAAAGACTTTCTTCCCATCATAAAGACTTTCTTTTTCTTGCCCATTGAAGGTTAACAGGGTGGTCTTTTGAGGTCCACCTGCCTGCATAAGGAGCACTAATGTGCTCTAAACATTCAGATTGGTTTATAAAGTAATCAAACAGGAGGTATCAAAACTTTTTTCTTTTCTTTTCTTCTTTTTTTTTATTTGTTTGTTTGTTTTTGAATTTTCACGCTGCGTGTGCCACAAATAAGACCGTATTATTAGTAGTAATATTATTAGTTTTTAGGGGATTTTTTTTTTCCTCTCATTAATTGCGACACGGAAACTCAAAAGCAGCGGAAACAGAAAAAGTGTGAAGCAACAGAGTGAGTGGCGTGCGGTTTCGTCTCCAGCGTGCGCGTGCCATTACTCGATCGTTTAAAAAAATAAAAATTAACGCGCAAAAAAAAGAGTTTGAAATCTTTCAGTTTTGCTTTTTTGCGCGGTGCACCTGTGCAATGCACGGCTGGGTCTTCACCCCTCTCTCTCTTTCTCTCTCTCTCTCTCTCTCTCTCTCTCCGTGTGTGTGTGTGTGTGTGTGTGTGTGTGTGAGGAGCTTTCCGTGTCTCTCGCGCTGTCTCCATAAATGGGCATGTGCGTCACTGCGCTGCTCCAGCCCCGTATTTAACGAGGCCAAAAGCGCGTTGGAGTTCCCGGCCGAGCAACAGAGCAACACACACACTCACACGCGCTCACACGCGCTCAGAGACAGAGCCAGAAAGGCAGCGGCGCGCGGGCTGCACTTGTGCAATCACCACCAACAACACCAACAGCACCACCACCACCACCATCATCATCATCAACATCATCATCATCATCATCATCATGAACACAGGGAGCCAATGCAGAACTTAGAGCTTCATCTCCAGCAGCAGAAACACTGCCGCGCGCGACTCAGACTCAGCGAGCAGATGGAACACGCACGCGCCTGAACTGAACTTGGATAACGCGGGATCGCGAGGGGGATCTTTTTATTTTTTTTTTATATATTTTTAGTTTTTTGTCCGTTTTCCTTTCTTCTTCTTCTTCTTCTGCGAGATCATCAGGCTGGGTGGATAAGCTCGTAACAAACCTGCGCGCGGGGCTTTTGATGCCTTTACAAAGTGAAGCCAGCCGTGTGCTATGACAGGCAAACTGGCCGAGAAGCTCCCTCTTACCATGAGCAGTTTAATGAACTCCATCCCCGAAAGCCTTTATCCTGAGGAAGACAACATCCCCACCTCTATGAACGTGTTCACCAGCGCGGAGCCCGCGGCGCACTACTCACACATGAACACAGGTGAGCGCGCGGCGGGGCTTTGGGGGTGCTTTGTGTGGGGTGGGAGGGGAGGGTTGTTTTGGGGGCGCACCTACCCGAGACCAGTGTGGGTTAAGGGGCTAAGAGAGATAAGATCGTGAGCTGGAGTGGATGTGATGCACAAAGCAGTGTGGCGAGCCTCTTGCAAGCCATTGTGTGGTGCGATAGATGGCCATTGTTCAGACCGCAATCGTGGCTGATTAGCGCACAGCTAAAATGCCCACTGATGTAGACCACTGCTGGATCAACTCGTAGACCTTATAGCGTTGAATCCAAACCTACAGTCTTTAGTACTGTGCGCGATAAAGTTTGGCTCACTCTCGTAACGCTGAGGAGCGTGTTGAGGTAACTCGTATAGTGCTGGATCAACTCGTATAGTGCTGCTTTAACTTTTATAGTGTTGAATTAACACCTGTAGAGTTAACGCAGCCTTTAACAGGCTTAAGTGAAGAGTGCTGAATTCACTCCTAGTGTAGGTGTTCATTCAGTGAGTGAACTCGGCGGTGCGAGAGTTATTAATGCTGTTGTGTAAATAGTATAAGTGTTTATCCAGCACTGCGTGTATTAATTAAACACTATAGACGTTAAACACTTTAATCCTCTGGGATATTTTTTAAACTCTCTCTCTCTCTCTCTCTCTCTCTCTCTCTCTCTCTGTGTGTTTGTCTCTCTCTGTCTCTCTATCATCCATGCTGGTATTAACTGAGGCTTTAATGTAAAGTAAAGGCACTGTTTGGTAATGTAGAGGTCCATCGTTGGTTCCTCACTGCTGAGAGCCCACCGGCCTTTATTGGCCAGCGTTAAGTGGTCTCACTGATGCTCAGGTGCTGAAGTGTTGTGCGGTCACGTGACGGACAGGTGATGCAGCCCGGTTAGGAGCACTCGCAGCTCCACGTACAACAATAATCATATAATACATGTAATTTGTAAATCATGTACAGCAAAGCACGCATGTAGGTTAGGATCAGCTAGAAAAAAGTGGTAAAAAAACAGTATAATAGCACACTATCATATCTAAATCTATCTATCTATCTATCTATAACTATATATATATATATACATATATATATATATATATATATATATATATATATATATATAGTATATATGTAGTGTGTGTATGTGTATATATAGACACTCACCAAACGTGTGCTTGTGGCTTTATATAAATATATCAATGTAACTGTATTAATGTATTATGTAAATATATAAAAAATAGACATATATAGTGACACAAGTGTTTATACATTATTTATAGATTTTTGTAATAAATGCTGAAGTACTGAAGTGGCTCTAACTGCCCTGGTAAAGAGTTGCCTCCTCAGTCTCTTGTGCGAGCTCGTGCAGGTGAGTGCGCGGCGCGGGCTGCTTTAAACGCGCTTCACACGTGTATGAAAAACAAAGACAGGAACAGCACGCGGAGCTCGGCGGATTCTTTAATAATCAAACATTTTATAACACGGCGAATTTAGAGCGCGCGCGCGGGTGGTCACTCTGAGCTTTAACACTACCGGGGCTCGTGGGGTCCCCAGCATTATAGAACCACAGACTGATTTAAAGCACTTACTTAAAATAAACAAATAAAGAAATAAAAATAAAAATAATAAAGAGAAAAAATTGCACCGAGCGCGCAGAAATAATTATTTACATTTATTTCAATTTAGCACGACGTGACTGGTTCATCTACTCTAACAATTCTGGGGAAAATGACACGTTAGGAATTCAATTAAATTGAAGGAGGTAAAAAAATGGGTGACTGATTAAAACAGGCCTAATTCCGTTTAAGACCGTGATTATTATTATTAGAGGATTATTAGCGGTTAATATTGGCCACTCTCTGCGTGTTAGGAAACGAAAAGGAAGTCCAGAAACTCAGCGCGCGTTAAACATAAACCACCAGAGATTCTCCTCCAGCACGAGCCAATTCAGAGCCAAAAAACAAACAAACAAACAAATAAACAAAGAGGAATTTAATGCTGAACCTCAGCTAAATTAATCGCATAATAGCCGGAAGTCAGAGCGCGTGAACACGTGAAAATACAGACGAAATGAATACAAATAAATATTAAAATTCCGTCCTGGACAAAGCTTTAAAGCCTTTTTTCCCTATGTGTGTGTGAGCTTGCTTGCTTTCTGTTTGCTACGCACACGCACACTCACACACACTCACGCACACACACACAGAGTGCCTTTTCTGGGCTGAATCACAGAAAGCCCACGCAAAAGCTAGAGATATCAGACGAAATATCAAAATATCTGTACTGCATCAGACCAAATATCTGCACTGCCTCCCTCAAAATGAGCTGCAGTAATTCATACATACTAAGTCAACTTGCTCTGTTATGGATGGTGGACTAATGAATGAACTCCACTCTTCAATACTGCAGGACATTACAACTCTGTGTAATGCCCAAGCGTTTTAATCCCACTGTTTTATACCTACTGGGGGTTTAAAACCCATAGATCCCTCAAACAGACTCAACCTCATCTGGTCACAACCCCTGTGAGGCTGCTTTAAAATGCCAAAGCATCCAAATTCCCACATACTAGACATTAAATGATAACATAAAATTCAGGGGAAGCGACTTTGATTCTTCTTATCTGAGGGAAAATCCCGAGCTTCTCTGCTGTTCTTCTTGGCTTGCCCGAGCTGAATTCTTTTCCCTCAGAGACAGCACACTAAGTGGTCTTTTTTACACACACATATGTGCAACTGTGCTGAATAGACGTGAACACTGGCTATAATTTTGGTTTTGTTTGTTCCCACCATAAATCATGATTTGGGATATACGCTGTGATTACTGTAAGTACGTGTTTAAGGAGCAAGACAAACCCGGCAGGACGTCATGGGGTTGTTGTTTTTTTGGACGTTCTGTAAATTGTCAGAGCTGCATTATACAAGATCAAGTGCTTATGTCAGAGTTCATAGAGTTTATGTATTAAACTACTGAATGGACCGAGGCAAAATATCCACACTGCATCCATGACAGAGTCCCTGATGGAGGCACAAGCCCGTTGCTGAACTTCATGCCTGTGAAAAGTGAAAAGCATGTATGTCTCAGATGATACCCTGTTGTACAGGGAATCTTCACTGCTCTACTTCTGAAGGACACATTGTAGTTTACAACCTGAGAGAGAGAGAGAGGGAGAGGGAGAGTAAGTGAGAGAGAGAGAGAGAGAGAGAGAGAGAGAGAGAGAGAGAAGGAAGAAAAGACAGAGAGGAGGAGGAGGGGATATTCACTTCAGTCTCGAGTCAGTCGACAAACTTTTTTCCCTCAGTCAAAGATCTAATTATTTTCCCGTCAGCTTTCCTCTTTTGGACTGATATGCCTTTTTCTCTTTCCTTTTTTGGAACAGACAGTTAACGGAGGTATGCCGAGACTTCTCTAACCAAGTTAAGAGCCAAGTTCAAATCAAGTCATAGCTTCTTGTCTGTAGAGTAGCTTTCTAACAGCTCGGTAGTTCCACCTAAACGTCTTAGTTATTTAAGAATCTAAGTGCTTTTTGTGTTGCTTTCTTGTCCGTTGACCTTTTCGATCTGTTCCTGCAGATAATATCATGGACTTGGGGATGGGAGGTGAGAAGAGCAGTGGGGAGATCCAGTACGGCTCCAGTAGTTTCCAGTCAAGTCGGAGTGGACAGACTGTCACTTACTTGGGCAAGTTTGCCTTCGACACCCCTCCTTCGGGGGGCATCAGTGGCTCGGGTTGGTGCCCAGACAACAACATCATCAGCCTGGTGAGCGCCGGAATCCTAGGCGTCTCGCCATCACCTGGCAACATCACCACCCAGACGTCCTCGTCGGGTGGCAGCATGGGCGGCCAATCGTCGGACATTGAGCAAGTGTATGCCCCGCCCCTTCCCGCCTACTCCACCTGCGGCGAAATGTACCAGGAGCAGGTGTCCTTTCACCACAGCCCAGCCACCTCATCCTCCCTGCCCTATCCGGCCTCCGACTACCACAATACCTCCTCCAAGCCCAGCATGGACGGCAGCCTCTTCTCCATGATCCCTGATTATAACCTGTTCCACCACCAGGGCGATGTTGGGGTGATGGAACACAAGCCCTTCCAGGCCATGGATCCCATCCGGGTGAATCCGCCACCCATAACACCCCTGGAAACCATCCGGGCGTTCAAGGACAAGCAGCAGATCCACCCAGGCTTCCTGGGCGGCCAGCAACAGCACGCGTCCCAGCACCACCACCACCAGCCCCCTCAGACCCTCGCCCTCAAGCCCATCCGGCCACGCAAGTACCCCAACCGGCCGAGCAAGACGCCGGTCCACGAGCGGCCACACGCCTGCCCGGCCGAGAACTGTGACCGGCGCTTCTCGCGCTCCGACGAGCTCACGCGCCACCTGCGCATCCACACGGGCCACAAGCCCTTTCAGTGCCGCATCTGCATGCGCTCCTTCAGCCGCAGTGACCACCTGACCACACACATCCGTACACACACTGGGGAAAAGCCCTTCTCTTGTGAGTTCTGCGGACGTAAGTTCGCCCGCAGCGATGAACGCAAGAGACACGCCAAGGTGCACCTCAAGCAGAAGGACAAGAAACCAGCAGACAAGGCTGGTGGTGCTGGGCCAGCGGGCAGCCACTCGTCCCCACCAAGTTCCTGTGGGAGCGCCGGACCCAGCAGTGCCAGTATCCTGACTGTTACCACGTGCGCCTAGGGAACTCTCCGCAGTTAGATACAATGGGGCTGGGGGGAGGAGGACACTGAGCTCTTTCCTTTCTTCTAAAAGGCCTGGCAATTGACTCTTACACTCTCTCCCCACTCTCCATGTATCGGTTTATTTGTTACGGTCTTCGATGTTTGTAGTCAGATGGCATAGTCATGTTGCCCCGCACCTTTTTGCTTTAGGTCAGGCTAGTGAGTGTTCAGGGAGGAAGACTCACTAGTGTTTTATGGCAGGGAGAATAGCGCACTGGGGCAGCAGCTGGAGGGACAGGGACAGTTTAGGTCATCCCAGGGCAAAACAGAGGCACTTCTTTGAGAAAAGCATTACAGGCTCAGGGAGTCCTACTTCCGGCTCCGGGGACCTACATGATCCCCTGATATTTCAGTCTGGGCCAAATTAGTCTTTTTTACAGTATGGTATAAAATACAAGGTGAGATACACTTGGCATCTGAGTTTTGTTTGTTACAGTGTATTTTGGTTTGTCATTAACTTGTCCAATTTTTAAAAGTGCAATTTAATTTACTCGATGTTGTTAATACATTCTTTGCGCTGCACTTTGGTTCCTGTTGTTTGTTCTAAAAACTGCTCGTTAAATATTTAATTGATGATTTTTTTTCAGAAGAATGTGCCAAATCTGTTGACATACTACAGCCAACTTATTTTTGTTGTTATTCTTGCCAGCGTACCAGGGACTATAGTGAAGCTACTGGAACGATCTGTTTCAGATATCGATCTGAAGGGAAAACCTCTAAGCCCAGAATCTTACCGTACTGAAAGGCTCAGTGAGTTCAAGCTTCAAGTGGGTGTTTCTTGCGTAATTAGACTGCATTATCTTAATATCTCAAAATCCCTTCAGTACAATTAAAGGATCTGGATGCCTTTTGTAAACAGCAACAGATTGCCTGTACAAAACCACGAAAAAAAAAAAAAGAAGCAGCCTGTGTTTTGGTATCTGGGCTCACTATGTACGGTTTACTTATTAGTGTGAAATTAAGAAAGCAAAACTAGTGGCGTTTACCTTGAACCCTTAATCTGATGTGCACATGGGCCAAAAAAGAAACCTATATCCTTTTTTCATTGTTTGTCCTTAAAGACAAATTCAGAGATCGAGGGCAGCAGATCATTTTGCCTTTATTGTCTTTTTTTTTATTTTGTATCGGTTGTTGTTTTTTTGCTGTCTGTATGCCTGCATGCATCTAGTATTGGTAGTATGTCTTGGTTAGCACTGAAACAAAGGTTGCAGTGGTCATTTCTGGGAACCTCACAGCAATAGGTGTCCATCTCAACCCCCTCTATACAGAGAGCTGATGAAAGAAATGATGTGAAATGTGAAATATGAAACACTGCCATGTTTCACATGTAAATCCTGTCGGTATTTCTGTTTACGTCGTTGTTGCTGTTGTTGTCGTTGTGTTACTCTTATCGCTGACGTTTTTATTGGGCACTTGAAGTGGTTCCCATTCTTTAATCTTCCGAGATTTCTTCCTTCCTTCCCTTTTCCGTTCCACGCATACTGTATATTCGGCACACGTTTGAGTACACATACACGGTTTTCAACACAAAGTACTTGCCAGCCAAAATTATGGAAATAACTGCCTTAGAGCACCACCGCTGGGCAGAAGCACGGTTGATCTGGGATGCCATTGTTCTGTGTTTTTACTGACTGAAGTCTGCCAGCTATATGCATGCCATTCGAGATGTTTTTGGATGAAAACAGTTCTGACTTTTTTTTTACAGCTCTGAGGGGCAGCACCAGTAATGTGGTTTTCTCCACGGCTACTCCTGTTCGGATCACACTGAGAGATTGATTCTGAATATCGAGAGGGGTGTTTTCTTTTGTACAGTTGCGTATATAAACATATTACTACATGTTTTCTACTAAGAATGTACAGGACAAAAAAAGCAATGTGCTTCAGTATTACGATGTGTGTGTGTGTGTCTGTGTGTCTGTATGTTTGTGTGTGTGTGTGTGTGTGTGTATATGCGTGTGTACATTAATACATACACACGTGCATGCGCACTCGGATTTTACCTTGACTGAATGTGGATGAGAAGGGTGTGTTTTAACATACATTTCTGGAGAACATGACTGTGTACATAGTTTAGAATGTTTCTTTTTTTAACTGTAAGAGAGAGAAGCGTCAGTGTCAACCCTGTTGCATCCCCCCGTCATTCCTGCAAAGTCTCAAAATGTTGTTTCTTTCTGTGCATAATATACAAAGAATGAGATGGAGACACACTGAATGATGTGTTTATTAAATAAATAAACAATAAGGTTATTTGAAAAAAAAAAAAGACTTGTGTATCTTAATATCTTTATACTCTTCTTATTAGTGAGCCTGCATGAGTGCACAGTAATAAATAAGACAACATACACAGCTGCAATTCAGTAAGTACTCGAGATGCAAGATGATATCGGAATAATATTGGCCCCAGACCACTTTCCACTGGATGAAATGGTTTGTCGGTCCAAACTAAAAAATTGCTTCATGTAATAGTATTTATTCCACTGAAACAATGGCTCATTCAAAACTAGTTCATTTAGTAGAAGTCATTTTGTAGGTTGGGCTGAAGAAAAATTTTTTACAGTGTAGATTTGACCAATAGTTTTAACCTATAATTGATGTGTTTATCGTTCTTTGGAAGCAGAATGTTTATGCGACACCAGACTACCGTGCTAAAATATCTGCATTTTATTCACTTTACTGCATTTGTAACCCTCTGCAAACAAAAATTACATTCTCTGTAAACCAGGAAGATCTAATTCCTACACTTTATAAATGTTCACATATCAGCATTGGCAGATATATACATGAAAAATATTGAATATTGGCCCACAATTCCCATATTGGTGCTTCCCTAATATTTATGATATTATCTCATGTATATCTCATGTTATCTTATGCATAATAGCAGTATAGATTGTCATCATAATGGCATCAATTGTGTTCAGTTTTCTCAATGAAACCTATAGAACAAATGCAAACTAAGCTTTTTTTCTTGAATAAATAGACGGCTTATGCTGTAGGAATTGTTTCAGAAAATATCAGCCAGGACTAATTTTCTTTTTTCAGAACATTAGTATTAATTACATTTTCTTAGTAATAATTAGCATTTCTTGGGTCTTCTTAACAAATGTAGCTCACATAAGCCAACGCATGCAGGCCTTTTCCATCCTCCTGTTTAGAGAGAGTGAAAATTGTACATGGCCGTGTCAGTGGTGCCTTCGGCATATGCCCCCTTAGCGTCACATTCCTAATAAACTCGGCAGTTTAAATGTTGAGGCTTGTCCACACACTGCCATCCTGCACAAAATTGTCCCGCTGTAGGCCTGTGTGTCTTGGCAGGCTTCCATTCGTTCTCTAATTAACAAGGCCCCCGATGGCTCCAGAATGTCTTTTGTTGGTTTTTCTGAATGAATGGGTGGCTCAGGCCGTAGGAGTTGTTTCGGAAAATCAGCCGGGCTTATGTAGACTGGGTTGGCCAATCTAAGAGTTTATCAGCGTGAGCTAGTACTGCCTAGGAGTGGATCTGTAAACACTACTCTCTTAAAAATAATGGTTTCTAAATGGCTCTTGGCTTGGATGCCTGGTTCTAGGAAAAGCCTTAAATTGCTGGAGAATTTATATTATGTGGAACCTTAAACACATCTCATTTACAGAAACGGTTCAAAATATATTAAGTTTCTTAAGGGAGCCAAAAGTAGCTCTAAAGAGCCCTTTTTGGCACCTTTATTTTTATGAGTGTACGTGATGAAAAATATATACACGCTGTCCCTTATTTTTGAGGTATACATGTATACAGTTTTATCTTATTTAGCCATGCAGTTGCCATTTAAATGGTTGTCTATTATAGTGATTCTCCTCTACAGTCATTGCAGGGAAAACAGAACAGTGTCTGGGGAAGTGATTCCATCCCTACTGGCAACTGTCTGAAGCTAAAGAGCGATTCTGAATGTATACGTAGGCGCGGCTCTGTTAGATTTATGCACCGATACGGCTCTTAGTGTCGTGTGTGTGTGTGTGTGTGTGTGTGTGTGTGTGTGTGTGTGTGTGTTCCCGGCGTCTGAAGCCTTTGCTGTAACAGAGAGGAGAATCACAGCGTGAATAGGTTACACTCACTGATGGAAGAGGCAAATGTTGAACGGCGTTAGCATTAGCGCTGTTATCACCTCTCCATGGATTTGCTTCATGTTTCCGTTCCCTCCACAGCCTCCCCTCCTCCAGAGTGATGTCTTTATTTCTGAGGCGTAGCTATACATGGTATGGGAAGCACTGCTTTTTCTCTTTTTTTTTCTTTCTTTTTCTTAGAAACAAAAATAGCTTCTGGCATAGGTTTCTGTTTCATTTTATTTCTTTATTTATTTATTTTACATATTTATTTATTTATTTATTACTTTCTTTCACTGCCAAGATCTATCAGATCACAGGGCCAAACTGATCCAGCAAAACAGAAGAGGCATTTCTCACAGATCAGATAGGAGCAGACCCTTCGGGTTTGTGTTTTCAAATATCAAATGGGCCTGCTTTTTGGGCTTTTTCTTTATCAACCAGGAGCTGTGTTCTTTAAAGTGCAGCAAACATTTAGTCGCTGTTCAAGCCAAAATTTCAGAACGTTTTCATTTTTCGTATTTTTAGACCATTTGAAAACTGAAATGTTAAGGTGGCCTTTTATTTTATACTGTGTGAACATGATTATGATTAATGCACCAACAGAAATGGTCCAGTATTATTTGGGAGAAAATGTATGTACTTACACATACATTTATGTTTACACATATTTTTTTCCTCTCATAGAAATATTGCTAAAGACATTGTATGTTTTTTTTTTTTACATACTTTTATTTTTAAATAATATCACATGATCCTATGGTGCTACACAGTACTGTACAAAAGTCAGAGACCAACCTTCATTTATTTAATTTCAGTCAAACCAAATTATATGAATTAAAAGATATTAATTATCAGTGTAAAGAAACAAAGAACATAATTTAACAGATAATTTATCACACAAGTCTCAACAACTAAATATAATATTAGAATTTCTTCGATTTCTTCATTTTGTGTGTCCATCATTTATCTTTTGCTTTCAATTTTTCAAAGAAATCTGCAGGGATCTGCATTTTTCTGCTTCTCAAAATCTAAGTAATCCCAAACACATTCAGTGATGTCAAGGTCTAGACTCTGGGGTGGTCAGTCCACAAGCAACCTCTTTGTTTTTTGCCTATTTCTTTTCTCAGTAAGAGCTTCTTGACAGCTACACATCTTTTCAGACCCATAGCGCTGAGTCGTCTTCTCACAGTGGAAGGACGGACAGAAACACCTGTTTTCTCCTCTCTCTCAAACATGAAAGCTTTAGCTCTTTAAGTACTTTCTTATGTCTTTATCTGATGGGGACAGTTTGGGTG